GACTGATTGATTGATTGATTGATTGATTGATTGATTGATTGATTGATTGATTGATTGATTGATTGATTGATTGATTGATTGATTGATAGATATGTAAACAACAAGCTGCTAGTCTGTACTGAGTACGTGTAAAAAAAACCCAACTCAGCAGACGTGGGTGCTCTTGGAAGTGATTGCAGAGATTGACATGCAAAATACGTTCGGGGAAGCTTCCGTTATTGGCCAGACAAAGCATTGGGCCAGATATGTGTCATCACGTTGTTACGCTTTACGTTGTTTTGTTTTTTTGAGTTCTTTTTTAAGTTTTAGTTCAGTTTTAGTAGGAGTATTGCGGCTCTTACAACAAAATTAGGTCATTTAAGGGCCGAAATTTTTCAGGAAAACATTTTTTATAGAATGTTAAGAAAAGAGCTAAGTGGAAGGTATCAAGCTCAACCTGGCCTGTGTCCTGATATCTTAACACAGCTGACCCTTGAGTAAATCCGGGCTGTCTCCACTGGTAACATTGTCCCTCAGAACATAACATTCAGATGTCTTAAAAAAAAAAAATTTAATCGCTCATTGCGTGTTTGGAGGGAGGCGGCTGTAAGACGTCGCTGGTAGGTCATATATTTTTACTTTCCCTGTGTTGTTTCTGTCTGTCTACCTATCTTACATCTACCCTTTCCCTCTGTTGTTTCAGTCTTCCTATCTTGCTTTTTTTCAGCACTAAACAATAATAATTTTTGTCGTTGGGCTTCTTTTTACTCTAACAAAAAACATGTTTTGAGAAAAGGGAAGGACAAGTTTTTGCCCCTTCTTCAGTTTCTTTAAAAGACAAGGAAACAAATATACACATCAAAGAAACCGAACTTCTCCTACAGGTAGGGCAAAGCCCACTTTTGCTGTTGGTCAAGATTTCTGGAAGCCCCCGAATCTGGGTTAAGCCGCTTATCCTTAAAAGCGACCATATTAGAAGGAAGCTTCTCTTTTTAACTCAGGGCGAATGAGCAAAATGCTTATGCCAGAAGAATGCACGAAGATAACGTGTCGCCAGCTGTGAAGATGTATTACTCTGAGGAGAAAAAAAGTTAATGCACTTTTATAATCTATTGTAATTGTAGCTGAAATGTAAATTTTTTATATGGAAATATGTGAGTTAAGTTACATGTCGTACATACAAATTGTAGAAGACTTGAAAACATGTTTTTCTCTCTCTCTTGAAATAGAGCTTAGATCATGTGACCAGCTTGTCGAAAATAAATAGACTGTTAGCCGCGGTATTTACTTGTAAAATCAAACCTTACTTCTGAAGTTGTGACGATGTCCTGACATGAGAAAAAAATGATCTGCCATCAAGCAGGCGAAGTCAAATACTCTAAATACTTTTTGGACCACAATGTATATTATCTTTATCTTCTTACTGGAGTATAATGTGTATTACTAGGCACTTAGAGAGTGTATTTTTGGTTGAACAATTCCCAGAAGTACCTCCCAGCTCAGATTCTAGAAGATCACCACAGCAGATTACGTATAGGGCGTCTCTGGGGCCATTTTTAAAACTTTGAATAAAACACTAAGAAAGGTGAAGTTAACCCTAACCCACAGCCCCGAAATGCTTTCACGCACAGTGCACTTTGAGTGGTCTTTCCATGTTGATAATTGACCGAAACAAATCGCTACCCCTAGAATTGAAAAATTCAATCTGCTTAGTGCCTAGTTTTGAGAAATTTGACATTTAAAAAATTGTGTTTCACAATATGTCGAGCATTTTTTAATGAATTTTTTGGATATCTTGATAACGACTCCAAATTATCTTTTTATTTTGCTACAGCAGATTATAAAAACCTTTGATTTTTCGACCTCATGGTCTTAGTATCTCCAAACGTCAATAAACGCCAGGGAAAACTTTGTAAATCTAATGTAGCGAAATGCCTTAAAGATTATAAAGATCTTGGGTTTTATATACAGTGCCAGCCAAGGTGTAAAACAATTCAGAAAACGTCAGTATGGTAAGAACACGTGACTTTCCCATAGCCAAGGTCACACCAGATGCTATACCACCCAGGAGGGAAGCCTCAAGTTACCGGCCATGACTCAACATGCTGTCTGATCAGGTTGTATGAAACGTTTCTTCCTTTCACAGAATCGTTTAGTAAACTGTAAATATATTACTAAAAATGGATAGCCCAGTTCCCGTTTACCTTACCCACCGCCAGCCCCAGCCCCTCCCCCCGCCCAACAAACTCCTACCCCTTCAATGTGTTCCTTCTGCTCTCTCTCTCTCTCTCTCTCTCTCTCTCTCTCTCTCTCTCTCTCTCTCTCTCTCTCTCTTTCTCTCTCTCTCTCTCTCTTTCTCTCTCTATCTCTCTATCTATCTATCTCTCTATCTCTCATCTTCCCTGTTCTTTTGATCTTCCATGTCATTATCATATTAAGACAGCACATTAAACTGGTCATAGATTTCTATGATATTATTATACTGAGTATCTCTTCTTCTCTGGAGTTACACAGGTTCGCGTAGGTTTGAGCACACGTTTTAAGTAAGTTGTAGAAAGACAGTCAAACTTCTGACCTGCCAGAGTATGTTACATAAATACGAATTTGTTTATGTAATGTGCTGCGGACATTACGTTTTCAACACATACCTGTACAACTCTGTCACTATGTGAGGTTGGGCAAGATAACACAGCGTGCTCTAAAAGCACAGTCAGAATCAATTTGTAAACATGTCTTGATAACGTTTCTTATTTTACTATCTATTATACTGCTTCTTTGCGTATATGTTTGCTATTCCATCGCTCTTCAATTGGTATTCAGCATTAAGATATGCTTGCTTCCCTTTCTGCTTTGCGTGTCCTTTCCTCCGAATGTCGTAACTATGTTCTCCCGTCTCTATGTAAACTTGTGGCCTTTTATTTCAAGACTGCTTAACTCAATAACTTAATGTCTTCCATTTTGTTCTATGAGGTCGACTTAAAGGGACAATGATACGATTGACTACTGTCTTAGAATATACCCTACGCTGTCTTAGTAATAATGTAATTCTGCCCATTCACACACACACACCCACACACACACCCACACACACACACATACATACACACACACACACACACACACTCACACACTCACACACACACACACACACACTTTGTATGCACAAAATTGTAGTAAGTTTCCAGGGACATTCGAGCTTCGTAAGTCACCAAAGTTTGGCGGTCATTTTCTCGCTAATTTTACCAGTCAAGAGAGATGAATATTTATTTTTTCGAAAGGAAAACAACAAGCTTTAAAAGATGATACCAATAACTACCTAGTTATGCCCCAAAAATGACGAGTGCTTGATTTTACAGTGTAGTGACACATAGTTTTGTGTATTAATTGCTAGAGGGTAACATTGACACTGGAAGAGTTTTGAAGTACATGTATTCATCACTTACTGTTCATCTAATGTACCTCGCATTTTTCGTGCGCTGGTTGAAAATAAAATATTGAGTGACTAATATCATATATGCGTGCATTACTCTTTTTGAAACTCCTACTACAAGGAATTCATTTTTGTCAATGCCTTTATTCTTCACCCCCCCCACCCCCCCCCCCCCCAACCAATCCACCAATTTAAAAAAAAATCAAGAATAATTATTACATAAAAATTTCAGTCCACGTCTAACTGATGTTGAGTGAGTATTCTGTCATGCATAACTCTTGTTTTAACTCGCGCCTGTTACTTATTTTGTCAGCACTCTACTCCCCCCCCCCCAACCCCTTTATCCCGAACCCCCCCACCCCCAACCCTCACCCCAAAAACATCCCCGGTCACTCCTCAGTTGCCACCACTGTCTACGTGAGCCGCCAAACGTCCACGACAGGACTGCTGACCAACATCAAACTGGCGTCTGTTGACGACCGGAAGAGGGCTGGCAGGCAGAAACTAGTGACACCCCAGGGATCCTCCGTGATACCGTTAGGAACAACAGCCCAGGGCAGTGACAGTCTTGACGATGACGTGTTTACAGCCAACAGGAGTTTCCCGTCCGAGGAAAAAAGCCGACAGGTTGCGGATAATACGACTGAGCAGAAGAGTAAAAGGCTGGCGAATTTACCGGAAGTTGCTTCTCTTTCCTTCACAGATGACTCAGGTTCAGAGAGTAGGAACATTGGTGACGTCAAAACAACGTCTGCTTGATTCTTAGATTTTTCTAATGTTCTTTAAACATAAAACAGCAGAGGATCGCAGTAGGAGCTGAGATCTTTTTGTAGAGTCTTTGTAAGGTAACTTTTTGTTCATTTGTTTATAATAATTGTAAAGCACGAATACTTTAAAATAGTGCCCTAAAGGTATATGACGGTACATTTTAGAATTTGCATCTGTGTGATCCTCTGACACCAATAATACTTGTTATGATATGAAAGGTAAGAAATGTGGACCATAATTGATGTCCTTGTAGATCCGGTGTGATGATTCAATGTACAACAGAACAACTAATTTGGTTGTGTTAGAACTAAGTCATGTAGCATAATGCGAGCTTTGAAACTGGGCATGCGTATATTAATACGAAATAAGTAAACTTGTATTATAATGTATTATGCTTCAGCTATATTTGTCCGATTTTGTGTGGCATTTTGTTGCGTGATTCAGTACTGGATTTATTTGGATGTATTTGTGTGGGTGTGTGTTTGTGTGTGTGTGTGTGTGTGTGTGTGTGTGTGTGTGTGTGTGTGTGTGTTTGTGTGTGTGTGTGTGTGAGTAGGTGTGAGTTTTTTTTGGGGGGGCATGATATGTGTGTCTGCATGTGTGTAAGTATGTGTGTTGTGTGTGTGTTTTTGTGAGCGTCTGTGTGTGTGTGTCTGTGTGGATGTTTGTATGTGTGAAAGAGAGACAGACAGATAGAGGGAGAGAGAGAGAGAGAGAGAGAGAGAGAGAGAGAGAGAGAGAGAGAGAGAGAGAGAGAGACAGACAGACAGACAGACAGACAGACAGACAGACAGACAGACTGACAGACAGAGACAGAGACAGAGAGGTAGAGAAAGAGAATGAGAGAAAGAGAAAAGATGAGAAAAAGGAGCGGGTGTATGGGAAAGCAGTTTTTTCTTGTTGCTGATTTTTTTTTTCTTTTTTGTAAATATACATGCTCACACAATGAATGTAGTACTCTACAGAAGTACTAATTGTCTTATTAATTTTGAGTATTAAACTTTCTATTATTACCATACAATTTGAACACGAACCAAAAACTAGTTTTTGCACGAACAGCAGATGCAGTACTATACACAATTTACCATGATTTGCCCTTTCGGAACAAAATGAATCAAAATATTATCTTCAATCATGGACCAGCTGTGCTGATGTACTAAGCCCAGCATGTTGATAAAAATGTTTAGCAGTTTTTTAATCTCTGGTATCAGTTGCAATTTGTAACCAGGGTCAACATTCAATGTCAAAATGTTGCAAAAATCCAAGAAAGATATTATATAAAGTACGTACACTGATTATTGAAAGAATGAACCAGATTTTTCTCTCCTGATAATGTTTTATTTTTCAAGGCGAAGGATTTTTGAAAACTTGCCGACTAAATACTAGACTCTGGTGAGTTGTTTGCCTGTTGGTGTCATTGTCTTGGTGAAAGAATTATATTTGCACGCCGAAAACTAATAACTAAGACCAGCATTTGCCTAGCTCATATCCCTGCTAAACAAATCTACATTATTACTCCATCGCACCTTAGGCTATTTAGAAACATTCTCAGCTTCCTGTGAAGCATACAGTGCAAACAGGCGACTTAGCGCTCGCTCAAACACTAACAAACTGACAAAATTTTCGGTGTCTATTACGGGATACCCATTCCCACCTGGGCGGAAGGAAGAAAATTTTTGTAAAGTGCCTTTTCCAAGGATAAAGAGTCGGGGCTTGAACCCATTACCTTCCCGTTGCGTGCCTGACAGCACAGCAACCACTTAACACCCAACGGCACACAAAAAATGAATTAACTGTATAATTTACAATTTACAAGCATCACGTCCTGATCAGCTGAACTGTGTACTACGCAGAGATGTTGCAGGGACATTTGACTGTTGTAAAATGGATAAAACACTGTGTTGAAGTTTAGGGATTTTATTTCTTGTGTACTGTGAATAATAATCAAATTGTTTACTTCATTGCCGCAATGTCATGACCATGCACATCTTTCGTGCATTGTCTTTAATATCTTTTACCTTTGGAACATTTTGTGTATTAAAAAAATAGATTTAATTCATGGATTCGTTCTTTTACTGCATTACCTGCAGATTTTGCATCTGCCCCCCCCCCCCTCCCCCTTTTTTGCTCATGTGTATAGTAATACCTCAACTATTGAGGACATTTTGATAATGTGGTGTATCAGTATCTAATAAGCTGGGTGGCGTGGCATCAAGTCAAAATTTGTCTAATTCTGTGATATTTCTCATACCTCATTATATCATGTTTGTTTTTGAATTTTCGGCTCTTTTTCATATTATCCTTTATTATACTGAATTTTCCTCTGGGTTCGGGTCCAAAGAAATTGTCATAACCGTTTTGCGGGAAAACGCGTACCTTATTAAGCTTGTTCACTTTCGTCTGTCCTTGTTAAACGTTCAACACGTAACTTTGCATGACACCCTTGTAGGCCAAACAAAAACTTTTATTTTAGATTCTGATCTCAAAGCTTTTTCACTTGGGCCCTATAATAAACACCACTCTTTTTTGCATACACGGTATGACTACAATGACTGATTTACAGTAATACTGCTACAAATGGCTCATTTTGAGATAGCGACGCCCCCACCCCCACCCCTTTCCACTTTCTGGACCTGGTCCTTGAGTGATCACGTGGTCTATCCACCCAAAACCCTTTAAAAGTCTCCATATGAGCTTCGAAAAGTATTCGCTCATCTATTGGAGAGTGTGTCATAAGTGTCGTTAAAGGGTGTAGCTGATGATCAGGAAAATAAGTCTACGTTTCATGTGCTATGAGTATGCTGTAAATCCTCAACTATCTTTTGGATGCTGTTTAGGTTAAAATCAAAGAGAACGTGTTGGAACCTCAATTTGCACTGATCTTCATTATTGGGCTTCTATATCTGTTGGTTTTCCAACTTGCAAGGGCTTGCAAAGGCCCGAGAAAATTAAACAGCGCGATTAATTACAATCCTGGTTTAATTGCTGGAAGACGAAATTTAACAAACAATAACTTTTCATGTTGTGTACAACAAGCATCGCGATGTATTATTGTTTAATTAGCCACTGCTCTTTTTTCTTTAATTACAGGTTACATTGTATCTACAGACGGCTAAAATCTCCCTTTGCGGTTGTTGTTCAAACTATTTTTGTTCATGATTTATATTTAAGAATCCCTAGCGCTCTAGTCATTTGCTCCTTGTAATCGCTCCTTGTATTCTCAGTTTCTGATACGTTCAAGGTAAAATTTGAATGAATATTGAAAGAAATAGAAAAAAGTATAGAACCAAAGGAATGCCGAACAGAATTAACAGGGGCCAGAACAGATTTAGAATGAATGAAAGGGAACAGAATTAATATGAACGAAGAACTCATCAATGAAAGAGAGGAGATTAATTAATCTAAAACTGCTAATAATATAAAACACGAATCGATTTGTTTTACGCACGAACATCCCAGTGACATGAAATGATCAGGTGCAGGTCGCTAGCAAACACATGAGAGAACTCATAAACAAGTGGGAATAAATACAAACTCGATAATGGAGTGAGAAGGAGAGGAGAAACTCTCTCAAGCAAGTAAGATACTATACAGCCATTGGCTATGTTTAAAACAAAAGGAATTATCAGTTTTATCACAATGGTACACACCACTTTGGGGAAGGTTGTTTTGTATGCAAAGTTGAAATGGGTTTGTTTTTTCCACCACACTAAAATGTCAGTCCTCACTGCAGATTTCAGGTAAACCTCAAAATCCACGAAGCAAATACTTGAATACTTGAATGTAGAACTGGAGTCCTAGGGAGACAGGGTGTTCCATGCTTCCTCGCCCCTCTTCATAAGGGTCTATTTCAATGTGAGCAGGCTGATTGTCCCCATCATCGGCTGGTTGTGGTAGCGTCTGATGGGGTCATGCAGGCTGCTCCTCCTGCCTTCACAAGGCTGTACTCCTTTCTCAATCACAGTTTCCTTTGAGAAGGATTCCTCTTCGCGGCTGCTGGCAAGATGATCTCGGACAAGGGCTGTTACAGTTGCAGGATCAAGGATAAGCGCTCCCTCTATGTTTGCAGAGCCTGTTAGCTTATCTTCTCTTTCATTTCCATTGACTCCTGCATGTCCTGGGCAGAAGATCTAAGCAGCAAATACGATACAGGAAGATTACAAGGGACGACATCACGTGCCGTATTGCGCCTTTCAATTGCATGTCGCCCTGGACCTCACTCAAGAGAGGGAAACGAAGTCATCATTGCTGCTTTCCACACCATAGCTTAGGCTGACACTTTCAAAGATACAGAAAGAACGTCATCATGCTTCTAATTCCAGACATTGACATTAAGTTAGAATCTTCAAGAAACACATGTCCCGTACGGTATAAATAAATATAACTGAAGAACGTGATTTTTATGCGCAGTAGCCCCCGGAGAGACGGCACTCGTGTCGAAAAGTATCTCCAACGTATAGTGTGAAGGCGCCTATCTTTTGGATGTTCCAAACCACCGCTGAAGTACAGGTATATCTGATGACGTACACATTACCAGTGGACAATTGTTATTTTTTTTGTTCCTCAAACGTTGGGATATTATGTCTCATAAATATGTTTTCAGGCGCTCGGGTCAGTTTTGGGGCATACGGAGTTGTTGGTCTCATCTTAAAGCTTGTTCATGTGTCTTGCTTTGAATGAAAAGTACTCGTCTTTTCAAACAGAAGTCTAGATGTTTGCGTTTCAAGGATGTGGGGGCAGGGGGGGGGGGGCGCCTAGTGTCAGAGATAACGTATAGTGACTCCCTAATCCCTTGTGTTTTAATTAACTGAAAATTTACATTTCTGTTTCCTAGATGATTTTCATTAAAATGTACTTAGCAATTAACAGGATGGGTGCTAAGAAAAATCGAAATTTCCCAACAGTCGGAGAAATGTTGATTTCTTCTATTTCATCATTTCTTGAGGGCCTGATTTCATTTCAGTTTCATAATATTTGAAAGGATACTGCATTTTTCTAAGGAATGAAACAGTCTCTCTCTCTCTCTCTCTCTCTCTCTGTCTCTCTCTCTCTCTCACTCTCTCTCTCTCTCTCTCTCTCTCTCTTTATCTCTCTCTCCTCTCCCCCCTCTCTCACCCATATTCTCCACCCTCTCTTTCTCCCTCTTTCTCTCTCTCTCTCTCTCTCTCTCTCTCTCTCTCTCTCTCTCTCTCTCTCTCTCTCTCTCTCTCTTTCTCTCTCACTCTCTTTCTCTGTTTCTCTCTCGCCCCTGAAAAATGCCACTCCTTCAGCTTAGAACAATTCAAGAACTTACTGACTACAAAACAGATAAACTGAACAGGTTAGGGCGACAATGGCACTCTGGTCCCCTGTGGATTCTGCTGCTGTATGACATGTGAACGAAGAACCACGCCTCTAGCAAAGATCGCGACCCTAGAATTACAAAGTTCT